GCCAGAAAGTTGAAATTCATGAATCTTAAAATTGCAGGGGATGGGAAATATGTCTCTAGAGCAGGAGTGTCAAAGTTGATTTCATTGAAGGATGCATCAGGGTTGTGTTTGACCTCAGGGCACCGGGGGGGGGGGATGGGGACCTGGCCAGCATGCTCTTACCTGTGTCAGGGGGCACCTGTGGTGGCCTGAGTTCTCTGCCAGAGAAAACAGGCTCCTGAGCTTCATTTTTGGCTGTGATGGCCTCTTGCAACCTTTTGCCAGTGAAAATGGAGCTCGGGGGGGGGGGGCACATGCGGCCTTCATAACCTCTGTCAGCTGGCAAAGGCGCCATGGGCCGGTCCTTCACTGTTTCCAAGGCAGCCTCATGGGCCAGATCTAAGCATCCCGTGGGCCGGATCCAGCCTCTAGTCCTTGAGTTTGACACCCCTGCTCTAGAGAGCTGAATACTTTAAAAACTTTGAAAAAATCCAAATGCATGTTGAACTGGATTCAGAAGAATTGGAAGATTAGTTAAGATGATTTGACTACCTTATTTGTTTTAATGTATTTAATTGTTGGACATTCACTTTCGCTGGACAGATGGATAGCACAAACAAACAATTATTATTTAAGTCAAAAATCCATAGACATTTAGGAATAGCAATATAGAAATGAAATGAAAATAATAAGAGGTGAATCAGTGATTAAATGGAATTGTCCATTAATCCCTATTAATGGACCCTTCCCACAGTCTCTGCAACTAGGGCATATCTATACTAAGAGTACAATGTGAAGTACTTACTTCCAGTATCAACAAGCCACCTGCCTGTACAGCCAAAAGGGTCCTTTTGGTCTATGACAGCCACCACATCTCCTTCATAAAGATCAATATCCAACTCCTGTGTAGCATTGCAGTTACGCTTGGCTTGGTATAGCAAGTCCACATTGTACATAGAAAATAGCATTAACCGGTGGACTTCTTTCTGACGGGGAAATTCAGGCTGGAAACAAAAAGCTGATTGAAAAAAACTAATATACCATGGAACAGCATGCTCACTATTAATTGCAATTTTCTACATAGTGTGATTTCAGTCCTGGCCTGGTTTAAATTAAGAAAAGCCTTATTTAGCTATGATCTGTCAAATAAACCACAATTAGCCAAAGCCAAACTCAAATCCAAAATCACATTATGGTTTAGCCCAATGTACGAATCCAGTCTTACTATTCACATACTTGTACTGGTTCATATTTTTGAAGCTATACAGTTCCTCTTCCACAAAGCATAATAAATTTGCCTTGTTTCTCTCGGTTTTAATACATTCATTCGGTGAATTAATATAAGGCATTTGAACTTATCCTATAGTAATTCACATCACAAGGCACATCCTTTAGAAATTAGCTATCCATGATAATACTATTTTATGCATGGAATGATATACATCAAATTGTAGATATACTGTACATCAAGACTTAGCTGCTACTTCCTAAGCATCTGATATTGTTAGCATGAAGCAGATCGGAGTGGAAACTGGGATCCATACATCACCAAAAGTAATGTTTATGTGTTAGAATTGTATCTGCTTCAGTGCAGGTTACTCAGTCATGGTTTAGCTTGTATGCACTTAGCCATAGTAGGTTTTTGGTTTTACAGTATACCCAAAGGAGATCTCTAGATTGAATATTAAGATGGTGAATCCCTAGCTCACGGGTGTCAAACTCGCAGAATTATGTGATGTTTCACGAAATTTTCCCCTGCACAGAGCTGGGGTGGGTGTGTCCTGCATGCGACAACATCTGGCCACGTGGGCTACCAGTTTGACATCCCTGCCCTAGCTTGACATAATTACTCAATTTAATAGCCAGTTGCATACCTGGAGAGAGACAGGCCTCTTTTTTTCAAAACTCAGCTTTCTTTCAATAAAAGTTGCACAGTGGTTTTCCTTGATACAATTCAAATTGTGAACATCTTCAAGAACCTGGTCATGTATTTCACTGATAGTTGGAGAAGTTTTCTGCAAATGGTAAAAGAGACTCAAGGTTACCTAACCATTCATCAACTGCATGTATGACGAAGCTTCTACTAAGAGCTATATCTCTATCAGAGATTACAATAGACACATATTAACACAATTAACACATTGTACCTACATCTGCTTACCGGCCATTGTGCAAGCACATTTCCAGGTTTCCAACATCTTATTGCCTAACAGTGCTGAATCAGAAAACATTGGAAAGCAAAAGACCCAGCTGAGTAAATTTAAATGTCATATGCAAGGGATATGCCGCTTCCAGATAACACAATCTGTTCTGCTTACTTAATTGGCATTTAATCAACAAATGGATGTGCAGAAAATTGCTCTCATAATTTATTAGCTCCTAGATTTAAATACGGTTCATATACTGATGTGCACCTTCCCTATAAGAGCACAGTGATTCATGTGGTTGGAACGCTGCGGAGGAAGTTAGCAAGCCCACATTTGAGATCCAGGGCTACCATGGTACAGGGTTCAGCTCTTGTCCTTCACTTCAGCTCTTGCCAAGGACAAGAAAAGGAGTGCCAAACTGGGCGTGCCCAAGGCAGCGGTGATGACATCAGCTAATAGCACTAGTAATAGAACTTAGAATTATATACTGCTTTACAGTGCTTGACAGCCCTCTCTAAGCAGTTTGCAGAGTCAGCATATTTCCCCCAACAATTTTGGTCCTTATTTTACCCACCTCAGAAGAATGGAAGGCTGATGTCAACCATGAGCCTGGTGAGATTTGAACTGCTGAACTGCAGTCAGCTGGCAGTCACCAGAAGTAGCCTGCAATACTGCACTCTAACCACTGGCCCACCATGGCTCATCGTTGAGCATAAATACAGTATATGAGGTTTAATATTGGGATGTGTCCAATCTTGGCAGCTTTAAGACTTGTGGACTTCAACTCCCAGAATTCCCCAGCCAGCCAAGTTGAAGTCCAGAAGTCTTAAAGTTGCCAAGATTGGATACATCCCAATATTAAACCTCATATATTGTATTTATGCTCAGATTGGAAGTGTGTGTAGCCAGGGACACCTTGGAATGATGGAAAATATGTAACAGAAGCAACAACATCAATATTAATCCTTCCCCCAACTAATTACCTTTAAAAAAAATTGCATAGGTGAAACTACCAGTGATGCCTTTGACAATGGAAAGTGCAGACCCAATCTAAAAAAAACCCACACTCCAGCCCTATCAACATTTCATCTACCAGCAATGTAATACCACATCTTCAAAAAGGTCTCCAGTATTTTTTTATTATTCAATTGGATGAAGGTGAATTTACAATCTGGAACTGCGCCGCCTGTGGTCAGACCTAAGCGTAGCACACAAAATTGTCTGCTACAACGTCCTACATGTCAATGATTTCTTCAGCTTCAACCTCAATAATACACAGGCAAACAATCAATACAAACTCAAGGTAAACCGCTCCAAACTCAATTGTAGAAAATACGACTTCAGCAACAGAGTCGTCAACACCTGGAATGCTCTACCTGACTCCATTGTTAGATCCTCAAACCCCCACAGCTTCAACCCCAAACTGTCTACCATGGACCTCACCCCATTCCTAAGAGGTCCGTAAAGGGGGTTGCATGCATAAGCGCACCAGCGTACCTACCGTCCCTGTCCTCCTGTCCCCCATTTATTTGTATTCATTTCTTTCGTTCATGTTTATACTTACACCTGCTATCTTGAACATGTTTGACAAACTAATAAATAAATATTTTTTTTCTTCAGAGACAATCATTTCAGCTCAAACGTCACCAGTTAAAACATGAAAGGCATTTTGAATTGCAAATATAAGAAGCCACCTTCAGAGAATAAAGAATCACAAACTACTTTCAGCAGGGTGTCAGTACCTCCGGTTTAATTGCTAGTAGTTGGGATTCGTTGGTTGAAAAGGATTGTGATGCCGATGACATCATGTCTTTCAGGAGAGTGATGAGACAACATAGGCAACTGGTTACAATTTTCTTTGCTGCTTCATTGAATCGCTGGAGCTCCTCCACCAGCTGTGCATTTAGGGCCTCGTATTCTTTCCTGGCCAGATCAGTATCATCCCCTGAAGCCTTTTGATACAAGCTGTTATAATCCAGAAGTTTGTCATAACGCTTTTGGATAAGCTTCTGGGGGCCGAGGAAGAGAGTCTGCAGGGCAGTTAGTGGCGTCAACACCAACTTCTCTACTTGATTCAGCTTCATGCATTGGAAGAAAGAAAGGCAAAAGATATGCATCAGAGCAAAGAAATCAGCAACATTCCCATTCGTTAAACATTAGCCTAACTTTTTTTTCAATGTAAGTTTTTTTTAAAAAAACACACAAATAATACAAACAGTACATATAGATCTGAATACAAAAAAAAAGAATGAAAAAAGAAAAAAACATATTACAATGCACCCCCACCTCCTGGAGACCTTCCCCCCCCCACTTATATTTCTTCATCTATAACAACTAAAAGATATATTCCAATTGTGCCATTATCCCCTCCAAAACAGTGTATAACAGCTGCTCCTGGAGGATCGCGCAGGCGCTGTATGCGTTCTGCGCATGCGTAGAAGCGCAGAATTCGTAAAAACCGGGTAAGGAGCGGGCGCAGGGGGGGGGCTTCGCTGTTCCCGGAAGTTACTTACTTCCGGGTTCGGCGACCAACCGGATCGCAGGGACCGGTGTGAACCGGTCGAAACCCACCCCTGGTCCTTATCCCCCATATTTCCAAGTATGTCAGCACACTCAAAGCGCCTCCTAGTTGAGCACTACAGACAACAGTATAGTCCCAAACAAGGCAGTTTATGTCTTGCATATATTAGCCAAATTTGCAGATGACACCAAGCTGGCAGGAATAGCCAACACTCCAGAAGATAGGCTTAAGATACAGAAGGATCTTGACAAACTTGAACATTGTGGTACCCTACTGCTTACTACCC